TGTAGAGATGAGGTCTTGTCAAGTTGCCCGGGCGGGTCTTGAACCCGCAGGCTCAGGCAATCCACTCACCTCAGCCTCCCAAAGTGCTGGGATTACAGGCTGAGCCACCGAGCCCAGCCGTTCCCCCTTTTCAAAGAAGCCCCAGGGACATTTGTATTTTACTCATCTTGGACAGTGCTGGCTTGTGGGCCTACCAAAACTGTGAATGAGACATGTGCATAGTGTCAGGAAGAGGTGCAAATGGAAGTGGAAAATAAAATACTGGGCGGGCCACACGTGGGCTAAAATAAGTGTTGAATTCTGAATAAAGCCTGCCCCCAGATGCAGCTGTATGACTGAAGTACGTCAACTCACTTGCCAGTTCTGGATAGGGTCTTGATATGAGTCTGCAAGCAACTGACTTATGATGGCCTCTGTGCAGTCCAACCTCCCCAGTCATGTTCATCTGTACTTGCAGCCGCTCCCCAGTGCTAGCATTGCCGCCTCGGCTCCACCTAGGATCATCAGGCGTTAGACTGTTATAAGGAGCTTGCAACCTAGATCCCTCACATGCTTGGTTCACGTTAGGGTTTGTGCTCCCGTGAAAATCTAATGCCAGCCAGGCTCGGTGGCTCAGCCTGTAATCCTGTGCCTTTGGGAGGCTGAGGTGAGTGGATTGCCTGAGCCCGTGGGTTCGAGACCCGCCTGGGCAGGCGAGACCTCATCTCTACAATAAAAATCAAAAAATTAGCCGGGCGTGGTAGCGCGCGCCTGTAATTCTAGGTACTTGGAAGGCTGAGGCGGAAGGATCGCCGGAGCCCAGCAGTCGAGGCTGCGGTGGCCGGGAGCGGCCACTGCACTCCAGTCTGGGCGACAGAGTGAGACTCCAACTCAAAATAAATAAATAAAAATAAAATCTAATGCCACCCCTGATCTGACAAGAGGTGGAGCTCAGGTGGTAATGCAAGCAACGGGGAGTGGCTGTAAATGCAAGATGCAGCTTTGCTCACTCGCCCGCCACTCACCTCCTGCTGTGTGGCCTGGTTCCTCATGGGACCCAGGGGCTGGGGACCCCTGATCTAACATACTGTGTAATTTATGTGTTTGTTGTGTTGTTGTCTCCTGACACCAGAGTTGAAGCTCCACAAGGACGGTGCTGTTTTTTGTTTGTTGGCTCACTGATCTGTCCTAACCACCAGAATGTGCCTGGCACGGGGGTGGGCCCTCAATACGCATTGTCAAAAAAGGAAAGGCAACTAAGAACATAAAACCTGTAAGCGTAGTTACCAGACTTCTAGCTCCTAGCAGACTTGGGACAGCAAATAAAGAGGGGTGGGAAAATGCTTGAATCAGCATCTCTAAACCTATGTTACTTGGTTCTGAGTTTTTGACAGTAATTGGCCTGGATAAAATAAGCTTAGAAAATACTGCATGTTTTATCCACTTACTAGAAAGTCGTATTCCACATTAACATATTAATGGCTATAAAAACTCTATTACTAATCTCTTCTTGAACTCACTTGATCAAAAACTCTAGGTCACTCACCTGTTATTATGGGACTCTCTTAGCCCATGGCCTTGGGAGTGGTTGGCAGCTCTTTAAAGCTACTTTTGGTTGACAGGCTGGGCTGCTTCATGTGCGACTCAGAAGAGGTTGGAATGTATCAGGCTCAAGACTCCAACTCTTAGATACTATTCTTCTTTTAAAGTTATGACTCCTAGGCTGGGCGTGGTGACTCATACCTATAATCCCAGCACTTTGGGAGGCTGCAGTGAGAGAACTGCCTGAGCCCACCAGTTTGAGACCAGCCTGACTTCATCTCTACAATAAATAAAACAAATCAGCCAGGCATGGTGGTGTATGCCTATAGTTCCAGCTATTTGGAAGGCTGAGGTGGAAGGATCACCAGAACCCAGTAGATTGGGGCTACAGTAGCCGTGAACATGCCACTGCACTCCAACCTGGGCGACCGAGTGAGACTCCAACTCAGATAGATAGATAGATAGATAGATAGATAGATAGATAGATAGATAGATAGATAGATAGATAGATAGATAAATAGGACTCTTTATAAATATTTAGCTTTTGTTTTAGGTATTTGGGAACAAGATGATCATTCCTTCCCTGGATGGAGACCTCTTCCAGTGGGACCGAGACCGTGAGAGCATGGAAACAGTTCCTTTCACAGTTGAATCACTTCTTGAATCTTCTTATAAATTTGGAGATGATGTTGTTTTGGTTGGAGGAAAATCCCTCACTACGTATGGACTCAGTGCATATAGTGGAAAGGTGAGTGAAAATGTGGAATTTATTTGGGGAAAAGCAGAATAAATTGGGATAGAAGAAGTAATTTATTAAACTTTATTATTGCTAGCTGAAGTTTATTATAATTTTCCCCTGAGGATGTCATTTGTTTTAATAAGAGAACTGTGAAATAGAAAGAGAAAACTAAATTTATCAAAGACAGCAGAATAAAAGACAGAGCCAGGAATAGCAGGAGGAAGAACATTAGGAATGTAGTCTGTGTTTCAGGTGCTTTTTTTTTTCATACATTATTTTGAATCTGCACAATATTTTTAAGGGTAACTTTTTTTTCACATTTTGCCGGATGGGGAACCATCCAAAGATTAATAATAATCCAAATAAGAATTATTGATACTACTCATTTATCTAGTTTGAGGCTGTAATAAGGCAACCCAAGAGGAAAGTTGACACTCATTTTAAAGATGAGAAAACTGAAACTCAGACCTTCAAGATCAGATGTAACTGAGTTCTTTCTGACAGCAAAGTCATGCTGCTGCTAATCACCTAGACTTTCTTGGGATAGAATCATAATATAATTTGCTTCTATGATTGGGTCTTATGATGTAAATCTGTTATTAGGAATAGTTAATTTAAAACATTTTTTTCCAAGAAGGTAAGGAAGCTGGGTGCAGTTGCTCATGCCAGTTATCCCAACACTTTGGGAGGTTGAGGTGAGAAGATTGCCTGAGCCCACGAGTTAGCGACCAGCCTGGGCAACATGGTGAGACCTTGTATCTACAATAAATAAAAAAAATTAGCCCAGCCTGGTTGCCTGTGCCTGTAGTCCCGGCTACTTGGAAGGCTGAGGCGGAAGGAATGCCTGAACCCAGCAAGTTGAAACTGTAGTAGCCGTGAGCATGCCACTGCACTCCAACCTGGGCGGCAGGTCCCCAACTCAAAAAAAATTTTTTTAAGTAAAAGGAAAAAAGTAAAAAAATCTTTTTTAAGCCCTTAACTTTGATATGCGAACATTTTATGTGTGGTCTATAGACTAAAATAAGGAAGACTACAAACATGATCTTTTTATCCTTGAGCTTTTCAGATGTTAATGAAATCATTAAATTTCATTTAATGAAATTACCCTTGAGCTTTTCAGACCTTGAATAAGCTCCAGGCCCACTGCAGCTTCTTGCACTTGCTGCTGCTTCTCTGCCTCCCTGCCGACTTGCATCTGCATTGTGTTGAGGAGGCCGTGCCGTCTGGTCTGGCCGTTTTTCCATCTTTGTTTCAATATTTTTGTCTGTAAAGCAACAGAATTGAACCCAACCATCTAGTTCTCTGATTGGATGTGCTGCTGCTACAAAAATCTGGTGTTCTGGAAGGTATGCTCTTTTTGGTGAGGATTTTCATTTGGATCATGCTGAGTCTTCCTTTTTCTTTTTCTTTTTTTTTTTTTGAGTTGGAGTCTCACTCTGTCACTCAGACTGGAGCGCAGTGGCCGCTCCCGGCCACCGCAGCCTCGACCTGCTGGGCTCCGGCGATCCTGCCACCTCAGCTTTCCGAGTAGCCAGAATTACATGCATGCGCTACCATGCCTGGCTGATTTTTTGATTTATTGTAGAGATGAGGTCTCGCCAAGTTGTCCAGGTGGGTCTTGAACCTGCGGGCTCAGGCAATCCACTCACCTCAACCTCCCAAAGGCGCGGGATTACAGGCTGAGCCACCGAGCCCAGCAGCTTCCTTTTTCTTTTAATGAAGACTTGAAGGAAGTACTTTTAAATAAAAGTTATTAGAAAAGTTTCAAATGTTTAAAAATCAAATATGGGGCCGGGCGCAGGGACTCACGCCTATAATTCCAGCACGTTGGGAGGCCAGGGTGAGAGGATTGCCTGAGCTCATGGGTTCGAGATCAGCCTGGGAAACGTGGCAAGACCTCATCTCTACAATAAACCAAAAAATTAGCTGGGTGTGGTGGAGCACGTGCCTGTAGTTCCAGCTACTTGGAAGACTGAGGCGGAAGGATCACCTGAGCCCAGCAGGTCGAGGCTGCAGTGACCGTGAGCATGCCACTGCACTCAAGTCTGGGCAACAGAGTGAGACTCCAACTCAAAAAAAAAAAAAAATTCAAATACTTCTTTTCTACAAAAACTCTGAAGTTGATTTTTTTTTAAAACTCACCTGGAGTTTTATTAGTGCTATTGCTGCTATGCTGTCACAATGGACTATTCATTTCTTCTTGTATATGTCATGAAAATCTGCAAAGTAGACTAAAATTATTCACATTCTTTTTTTTTTTCTTTTTGGTAGAAACAAGGTTTCACTATGTTGCTGAGGCTGGTCTCGAACTCCTGGCCTTGAGCGGTCCTCCTGCCTCAGCCTCCCAAAGTGCTGGAATTACAGGCAGGAGCCACCACACCTAGCCCTTCTAAATTATTAAAATCAACTGGGCACAGTGACTCACGATTGCCTGAGGCCAGGAGTTTAATACCAGCATGGGCAATATAGCAAGACCTGTCTCTGCAAAGAATAAAAAAATTAGCCAGACCTGGTGACATGTGCCTCTAGTCTTAGTTACTCAGGAGGCTGAAGTGAGAAGATGGCCAAAGCCCAGAAATTTGAGGTTACAGTGAGCTAGGATTGCACCACTGCACTCCATTCTGGGCAACAAAGGGAGAGCCTGTTTCTAAAAACAAATAAATCAACTGATCCTTAAAATAGTTCCCTGAAATAAATATTCATTGGTACTTTTATGGTTCTAAACAACTCATTTTAGAAGTTAGTAATTTAACTGGTACTTCTTATATTACTTGAATACTTCTTACACATTTCCTTTCCTTTTCCTGTTTTTTTTTTTTTTGAGTCGGAATCTTACTCTGTCACCCAGGCTGGAGTGCAGTGGCACGTTCACAGCCACCACAGCCTTGACCTGCTGGGCTCAGGCGATCCTTCTGTCTTAGCCTTCCTTCCAAGTAGCTGGAACTATAATTGCACACCACCACGCCCGGCTAATTTATTTATTTATTGCAGAGACAAGGTCTCACCAAGTTGCCCAGGCTGGTCTCAAGCCCCTGAACTCAGGTAATCGTCTCGCCTTGGTCTTCCAAAGTGCTGGGATTACCAGCTTGAGCCACTGCGCCTGGCCTCCTTTTACTTTTAAAAAGTTATCAAGATTCCTTTGTCTCTGATCTCCTATGACTTATGTCCTTTACTAACTTTACATTTGATTTTTCAGGTGAGGTACATCTGTTCCGCTTTGGGCTGTCGCCAGTGGGATAGTGATGAAGTGGAGCAAGAAGAAGACATTCTGCTTCTGCAGCGTACCCAGAAAACTGTCAGAGCCGTTGGACCTCGTAGTGGCAGTGAGAAGTGTGTATTCAGATAATGCTGCTGCTGATACTATTTAAAAGCATAGCTAATACCAAACTCCATCAGCTCTTTCTTTGTGAAGATTTTGCGAGCTATTTTGTTGCCCTAAGAGCAGGCTACTCTTTTAAGAGAAATGTGGACCCTAAATTTAAAAGGGCCTCATGGTTGGTAGCAAGTTCCGAAATGAACTCACCATATGCCTCAGGATGTGGTAACCAGAATCTTACCCATGACTACATATTAGTTTAGTCTCTGGTTAATGATATTTTTCATAGCAACCTCACTGCTCAAAGCTCTTTGAAATGCAGAAAGCTGACCAGCTCGGTGGCTCAGCCTGTAATCCCAGCGCTTTGGGAGGCCAAGGTGAGTGGATTGCCTGAGCTCAGGGGTTCGAGACCAGCTTGAACAACATGGTGAGACCTCATCTCTACAATAAAAAAATAAAGAAAGAAATTAGCCGGACATGGTGGCACATGCCTGTGGTTCCAGCTACTTGGAAGGCTGAGGTGGAAGGATCACCTGAGCCCAGCAGGTCGAGGCTGCAGTGGCCGTGAGCATGCCACTGCACTTCAGCCTGGGTGACAGAGTCAGACTCCAACTTAAAAATAAAAATAAAAAATAAGATACCTAGATTAGGTATGCTGATCCTAAATCATGTACTTGGTTTTCTAAACCTAATATTTAAGTTTTAAATTGCCTGGGAGTAAAAATAACTTTAGATCCCATCTGTATCTTTTGAAAATGAACCAGACGCTCAGGTTTTGTCTAATCTGATATGATAATTCAATTTTCTTTGCTGAACATTGTTCTCGCAAACTCAGTTAAGAATGTATTTGTCCTTTCTGCTTTGGAATAGTGAATAGTGCTTTGTATCTGCTGATATCCTGATCCTTTTCCTGATGGGCTTTTGTTTTGTTTTTAAGTGTTTGAGTGCTTATGGGGAGCACAGGGGAGCACAGCCACCATAGAAGCAGATGTACAACTTAGCAGAATTTTTAGTTAACAGAATAGGAAGCTTTTGGGGGTTCTGACATCATGCTCCTTAAGTATATCTTTTTTTCAGTAGATGTTAGAATTTTTAGCTATGCCATTTTATATCTGAGTGATAAGATGCTATACTGTCAATTGTTGAGTGGTTTTTCTATTTGCTATTTACTAATTACAAAGGAAACATTGTTACTGTCACTTTATGGATAAGGCCACTGAAACTTAGGAAAGGCCATATTTTGGTAGAAATCTGGGATTGGAGCTGAGGTGGTATGGCCTTCACATTTAATTATTTATTTTTTTAATTTTGAGTTGGTGTTTTACTCTGTCGCCCATGCTGGAGTGAAGTGGCATGCTTACGACCACCGCAGCCTTGACCTGCTGGGCTCAGGCGATCCTTCTGCCTCAGCCTTACAAGAAATTGGAACTACAGGCGTGAGCCACCATGCCCGGCTAATTTATTTTTTTGATTTATTGTAGAGATGAGGTCTCGCCAAGTTGCCCAGACTGGTCTCGAACCCCTGGGCTCAGACAGTCCTCTCCCCACGGCCTCCCAAAGTGCTGGGATGACAGGCTTGAGCCACCACTCCCTGCCAGCCTTCACATTTGGTATACTGAATCACATTGCCTTTTGAGGCCATGTTTTCACATGAATCTAAAATCAGTGCTTTCATCTTGCCTTTTACACTGGTTTATTGGGATAATATACTAATTTCTCTGCACTTTTTGAATGAAATGTGCCCAGCCCTTAAGTAAGAGGTAAGGCTGACTACACGCTAACTTATTTTAAGGTGACTTTGATGTGCTTCGAGAAAATCACTTGATGTGAAAGTGCAAACAAAATTTTTTAATCTCTGAGAGAAAAACCTGTCCCTTAGCTTCTGCCAGCCCACAACTCTAAGAACCGTTGTTTCTAATGGGTCAGAATGAAGTTCTCCTGCGCCCTCTTGTGGCGTGTATCAGCAAGAGCCCCTTTCCAGCGGTGGTTCTTTTTCTCATCACATAAGTTTGCTTCTTCAGTTTTGTAGAGCTCTGAATTATTTGGTCCATTTATTTAAATGTAAATTTTCTAAAACACGCCTTTGTAAATTTAAGGTGGAATTTCAGTGTTGGCCACTTTGAGCTTCGGTATATTCCAGACTTGGAAGCTAGAGCCGGATTTATCGAAAGCACCTTTAAACCTACTGAGAACAAAGAAGAGTCTAGAATTATCTCAGACGTGGAAGAACAGGAAGCTTCCATGATGGACACAGTGATAAAGGTCTCAGTTGCTGACTGGAAGGTCATAGCATTTAGTAAGAAGGGAGGACATCTGGAATGGGAATACCAGGTACCTAGAACCACTGAGAATGTATAAGTATGTTTCTTCTTCTCCCGGTTTGGCCAAACTTATTGGGTGGAAGGCTTTGACGTGCTGCTACAAAATTACTGCCACTTGGGGCTCTCAACTTGTTCTCTATGCTTTAGGAAAATGTGGTTTTAAGTGATATGAGTTGAAACTACATAACTACTACTTGAATCGCTCAAAATCTTTTTTCTGTTTTTATTTAGTTTTGTACTCCAATTGCATCTGCCTGGTTACTTAAGAATGGGAAAGTCATTCCCATCAGTCTTTTTGATGATACAAGTTATACATCTAATGATGGAGTTTTAGAAGATGAAGAAGACATTGTAGAAGCTGCTCGAGGAGCCACAGAAAACAGTGTCTACTTGGGTGAGTAAATGTGTCTTATTTGGTGATTTTTTTCTCTTTTTTTGAGTTGTAATTTCACTCTGTTGCCCAGGTTAGTGTGCAGTGGCACTGTCATAGCTCACCTCTGCCTCAACTTCTAGGACTCAGGTGATCCTTCCACCTCAGCTTCCTTACTTGAGACTACAGGCGTGTACTACCACGCCGGCTAATATTTTATTTGTTGTAGAGATGAGGTCTTGCTATGTTGCCTAAGCTGGTCTTGAACTCTTGGGATCAAGCAATTCTCCTTACCCTGACCTCCCAGAGTGCTGGGATTAGACATGAGCCACTGTGCCCGGCCTTAGATTCAGGAGTGCCTGTGGTAGTTTTAAATCCTAATATATTCTCTGAATCTGGCTGCCGTTACGATTTATACTTCTGTCCAGGTGCAGTGGCTCACGCCTATAATCCCAGTACTTGGGGAGGCCAAGGTTAGAGGACTGCCTGACCCCACGAATTTAAGACCAGCCTGGGTAACTTGGCAAGACTTTATCTCTACAATAAATAAAGAAAAATTAGCCAGGCGTGATGGCACATACCTGTAGTTCCAGCTACTTGGAAAACTGAGGTGGAAGGATTGCCTGAGCCCAGCAGGTCGAGGCTGCAGTGACCGTGAGCATGTCACTGCACTCCAACCTGGGCAACAGAGTGATACTTAAACTGAAAAATAAAAAAAAAAGATTTATACTTTGATTTCCATTCCTGCTATTTCTCCATTTGTCCAATTCGGAAACTTTTAATTTCTATAGTGTATTCTTTTCCTCTGAGATCTGTGTTAGAAAGGCTTAGGAATATTCTTATTATGTAGCATGATTTAAAATTGCTTCTAAGCTGGGCATAGTGGTACATGCCTATAGTCCCACCTACTGCTGAGGCTGAGGTGGGAGGATCACTTGAGCCTGCAATGCGTTGTGGTCATGCCCCTGCACTTCAGCCTGGGTGACACAGTGAGACCCTGTCTTTTTATTTACACACATGCACATATCCCCAAAGTCTACGCCTTTTTGTATTTGCATCTGTGTGTATATTTGCTGCACTTCAACCTGGGTGACACAGTGAGACCTTGTCTTTTTATTTACACACACGCACATATCCCCAAAGTCTACGCCTTTTTGTATTTGCATCTGTGTGTATATTTGCCTCCCTGTCCATTTGTGCTCCTGCCCCTTCAAGATTAGGGTTATTATTTTTTTCTATGCCTCTATACAACTGATCTAAAAAATAAAATTCAGGTGTGCTTCTGGGCAACTGAAAGCCTTTAATATAACCCTCTTTTGAAAGTGAAACCTCTTGCACCCAGTTATTTGAACTAGTCATCAAATACTCATAAAATTTTATGAGCGCTATCAGTGTGCCACCACCTTTCAATCTAAATAAAAAGCAAGAATTTAAAGGAATAATGTGTCACACTTGTGTTGTGATAGTGTTTGAGTTGTTAGCGGTATTTCTGGAATTAAAAGTATTTACAGGTAAACTGTAAGGAGAAAGTTACTTCATTTAAGCTGTTTGGCTCATGAGAGGACAGTGACTTCTTATCTTTAAATTCTTCTACTGTCAGTTTTCTGCAGTGACTAAAAACGTGCTATTACTCAGTGAGAAACTTCGTATGGCCCTTGTATATAACTTTTCCCTCCTGTTTTTTGTTGAATAACTGTTGAGTTTATTTTTGAGCGCTTCAGGCATATTTCTTCTTGAAAAGACCTATGTAGCACATGTAGAAGTTACAGGAATTTTTCTAATTTTATTTTTTAAAATCTTTAAAAAAAAAAAAAGTCAATGCATAATGGGCAGTGTTCTGGTTGATTCAGGAATGTACAGAGGCCAGCTGTATCTGCAGTCATCAGTCAGAATTTCAGAGAAGTTTCCTACAAGTCCTAAGGCCTTGGAATCTGTCAGTAATGAAAATGCTGTTATTCCTTTGCCAACGATCAAGTGGAAACCCTTAATTCGTAAGTGAATTATAAAATTTTATAAATACTGTTAAAGTGTTCAGAGACTTAATCCTGACTGCCTTTGCCCTAGTTTTAAATATTGCAGAGATAAGAACTATTATATGCTTTATATTTTATTGATAAACTATGAGGGTATTTTAGATGTTAATAATGAATTTTAATTATTATTTAGAACATTATTTCTTCAAAGCAGCAATTGCCTCTATAAAAATAAATGTTAATAAAATATTTTTCTATGCAACTCAGAATAACTTTTAATTCACTGACCATGCCAAAGTCACAGCTCTTAACATATTTATATTAAAACCATTTAGATAAAACTTATCTGCTTATCACATCATATTCTTTGAGATATAAATGAATTGAATTCAGATGCTGGGTACTTCTTTTATTATCTTTCTGTAACTTGCGTGTGTTTTTGACTACACACGTCACATCATGTTTGGTTTAAATTACTCATAGTTCCTGTGGACTCTAAGAGCCGTTTGTTTGGTTTACATGTTTGAACTGCTGTAATTGAATATCACTTTGTTCAATGAATGAGTATATGCATTTTCATTAAAGTCATGGCAATTAAGATTTTGTCATTTTCTTTTAGATTCTCCTTCTAGAACTCCTGTCTTGGTGGGGTCTGATGAATTTGATAAGTGTCTTAGTAATGATAAGTTTTCTCATGAAGAGTATAGTAATGGTGCACTTTCCATCTTGCAATATCCATATGGTAAGTGAAAATACTGAGTTTTATTTATTTACTTGAAATTAATTAGGAGAATTCAAATGAAGGAAAGTTACTTGGAGCGTAGAAAATAAAATGTCTTGGGCATACCTGACTTCTCTGTGTCTCAGTTCTTTTGTCTGTAAAACAAGAATGATAATCCTAAGATTATTGTATTGGTTTGTTGAGAGACCTAAATGAGATTATGCACATAGAGTCTCTGTTGATTCTTGTCATTACCTCTTATTAGCCTGTGTAATATAGACCATATAGTAGCCTAGTGAAGAAGAGAGGTTTTTTTATAAAACTGTGAAAATTATGCAAATAAGGCTATTTTAATTTTTTTTACAAAAGAAATTAGTTCAAAAGTCAGGAATAGGGTAAAATTTGACATGAAATACATTCCTGTATAGTAAGTGGCAATTTTTAAAAGTTAGGATATATTCAGATGTGAAAGTGTTTTGAACAGTTAGATATTTTTAAAAGTCGTCAAATCTACATCAGACAAAAACTCCTCATAGACTCCTTACTGCAGATACTAGAATGGGAGGATTAGTACACAACTTAAACTGGTTTTAAATAAAAACAGAAGGCTTTAAACTAAAAAACAGCAGACTTTATCTCATATTAATCAAAAGACAAGGTAAGAGAGAATTGTGTAGTCAGCCCATATAGTGCAAAATAGAAGACAAAAAAAAACAGGCAGTTTTCTGGGACAAACTCTTTTTGACAGCCCAAACTGAACAAAAGAACATGGTTATTTTCCTTTCAGCCTGTGAATAATGGTTGGTGATAAAATTTGATATTTTACTGATACCAAGTGAAAGGGAGGCTTAAAATATCTTGAAAGAGGATTCAGTACTACTTCTTGTATGTAAAGAATTGAATTATTAATCATGAATGAGGTGGCCCTTAAGGTTTTTCTGAATTAGCCGGGTGTGGTAGTGCGCGCCTGTAATTCCGGCTACTCGGAAGGCTGAAGCGGAAGGATCGCCGGAGCCCAGTAGGTCGAGGCTGCGGTGGCCGGGAGCAGCCACTGCACTCCAGTCTGGGCGATGGAGTGAGACTCCAACTCAAACAAAAAAAAAGATTTTTCTGTAGTCTTATTTTTTAATGTAAAGAAAATGTGGCCGGGCATGGTGGCTCCCACCTGTCATCCCAGCACTTTGGGAGGCAGAGGCAAGAGGATTGCCAGGAGTTCCAGACCAGCCTGGGCAACTTGACAGGACCTCGTCTTTGCAATAAATCAAAAAATTAGCTGGGTATGATGGTGTACACCTGTCGTTTCAGCTATTTGGAAGGCTGAGGTGGAAGGATTGCCTGAGCCCAGCAGGTAGAGGCTGCGGTGGCCATGAGCATGTTGCCCCACTCCAGCCTTTTATTTTTTTTTTTTTGAGTCAGAGAGACTCTGACTCAAAAAAAAAAAAAAAAAGTAGTAAGACCTTTATTGAATACAGGAGAATGTATTTAAGGAAAAAAAGTAAGGCAAATAAAGATGTTTGAAATATTATAGAAGAGAGATGAAACTTGAATTCGCATAAGTCATAAGAAAATAGATAATTTTTAATAATTAAAGATGAGTCTGTTTTGGCTTACCTTTAAAAAGCTCTGTTAATGTTTGTTTTTGAAGACAATGGCTATTATCTGCCGTACTACAAAAGGGAAAGAAACAAACGGAGCACACACATCACAGTCAGATTCCTCGACAGCCCGAATCACAGCAAGAACGTCCGCAGAAAGGACCCTGTTCTCCTCTTACACTGGTGGAAAGAAATAGTTGGAACGATTTTGTTTTGCATCGTGGCAACAACTTTTATCGTGCGCAGACTTTTCCAGCCTCATCCTCACAGGGTAAGAAGCAGTGTTGCCTGCACTCGGTTTCCACTTCACCTTCCGTTTACCCTTCAGCCCCTTACCGCCTGGCATCCCCCCCCCGCACTCCACTGAAGCTGCTCTTGCCGAAGACGTCAGTGGTCTTCTCTTGTTCAGTATCACGGGTGCTCTTCAGTCCACATCTCACGGAACCACTTGGTGTTTGACACTGTCGGACACCTCTCCAACCCTTCTTACCTGGCGGCCTTGACACCGTGCTCTCCTGGTCTCCTTCCTGGGTTTGGTGTGGATGCCTCACGACCTCATCTTCCTCAGCTTCTCCTGACAACTTCAGAATTCCCCAGGGCCGCTCTTGTCTCTTTGTACCCCACAGCCTCCCCTTAGGGGGGGTCTCCCCTACTTTCCTAGCTGTAATCTTCTTACGTGCTGATCCCAGACCCGTTTCTCAGGACCAGCTGTCTAGTGGTGCTGCACGGGTTCCTCAAGCGGGCCGTATCTCAACCTATTCCATCCCATTCCCATCCCCCGTCTGTCCCACGGCACTTTTCTCTCTTCATGAAGTGTACTGCCTTACTCAGTCACCAAAGCCAGAAATCATTCATCCCCCTCTCCTCAGTCTTCAAGTTCTGTCAAATTCTTCCTCCTCAATAGGTTTGTCTTCTTGACATGCCAATTTCTGTTTCCCTGGCACAAACGGCATCACACCGCCTCTCCTGAATCTGAAAGAGCCTCTCACGGGCCTCCTGGTCCTTAGTCCTGTTGCTGTCTCCAGTGTGTTCTCCACACCCAGCTCTCCAGCTGCATTCCCTGGCCTAACGGCCTCTAGCAATGAGCTCCCCATTACTGGCGGGCTGAAATCCACACTTCTTAGATCGTGCAGGGTACTGAATGGTTTGTGACTGTCTCTCACCTCCACCCTGTCCGTTTCTCCCCACCCCCCATGCTCGGGCACCGTGTGGAGCTTCGTTCTGTCCTTCCTTTCTGTGGCTCTTGCTTTGCTGGACCTCCTCCCTCCGACCTTGCCTTTGAACCTTGTTCCCCACCTCTTCTCCCTTCCCTTCCCTCTCACGGGATTAACTCCTTGGTAGCTTTTGGTTTGAAATTAGTTGTCCTGTCCCATGGAAAGTCTCCCTCGACCTCCTGTTTCTGTGTTAGATTCCCTGCCTATGTCTTAGGCCATCCTGTGCTCCCCTTACTAAATTCTTGAACAGATAATTCCTCATTTCTCTCTCTGCCTCTAGATGGTACATTCTTAAGGACAAGGACCAGTCAACATTGTTTGCCACCGTCTCCCCAGCCCCTTACACAGTGCCTAGCACTTCATCAGAGCTCAGTAAAGATTTACTGAAAGAATCAGCGACTAAACAGAGGACATGCAGTCCCTCAATCTGACCATAACAATAGTTACCATCCTTTGGAAAACCCTTTAGGAGATGTTGGGGAAGGGGCGTTGCAGATTAGACATTGCCAACTTCAGTTTCCTAGTATGGAAAGCATTTGTAAAGCATCTACAGAATAGGTTGGGAAAGAAGTAACTCTGGTCTTGCCTAGAAGTTTATACTTACATATGTGCACTTTCTCTTTCTATCTAGTTACGTAGTATACTGCACATATAATATAAGCAGATTATAAAGAAACACAATCCCTTGAAAACTAGAGGGATGGCAGTGGGAAGATAAACCTTTTTTTTTTACTATAATGTAGTAAAATACTGTATTTTATGTTTTTATAATGCTGTTTTTTTTCCATGCTATTTATTTTTTTAATGTTATTTTATTTTATAACCTAAGCTAATTAGCTGACTTCAGTTGAGCCTTGTACTGGTAGTAATTTTGTTTTTTTACCTTATCAGCAAAGGATGGAGTCTGAAACTCAGTGTCAGACTGAAAATAAGTATGATTCTCTTTCTGGCGAAGCCAGTGACAGTAGCTGGAATGACATAAAAAACTCTGGATACATATCACGGTAAGAGTCTTATAAAATATAGATGTGCATTATTAACTTATGATAGTAACCATTTGAAGCAGAGAAGAAATGACTTCTAAACTAAGATCTTGTTTAACTGCTTTTTTAAAAAAAGTATGACTATCTAGATAAGTAAAATATAAACTCAACCCTTAATAAACAAATAAATAAATAGATAAATTCAAGACCCTTAAATTTATTAAAAGTGGTATGTACCCTAAGAAGGATAAAAATAGGTTGTTATAGTAGCTTAGAATTTCAACCACTAAATTAAGTTTTTACTCCAGTGACTTAGTTATTTAGGGTCTTCTGTGTTGTGAGATTGGCATTTATAGTACCAAATAATTATTATTATATTTATTAGAGTATGATATAAATCTCCATGTTTCTTTTTTTTTTTTGAGTTGGAGTCTTACTCTGTCGCCCAGACTGGCGTACAGGGGCACGCTTCCGGCCACTGCAGCCTCAACCTGGTGGGCTCCAGCCTATCCTTCCGCCTCAACCTTCCAAGTAGCCGGAACTATAGGCGCATGCTATCATGCCCAGCAAATTTTTGATTTATTGTAGCGACGAGTCTCGCTAAGTTGCCCAGATGGGTCTTGAACCCACGGGCTCAGGCAGTCCACTTGCCTTGGCTTCCCAAAGTGCTGGGATTGCAGGCTGAGCCACTGAGCCCGGCCAGTCTCCATGTTTCTTAATCCTCAGCTATTTTTTTCCATTTTTGTTCTGTCTGGAAGAAGCTGGAGACCCAGGACAGCCGATGGCGTGATTCCAGTTTGAGTCCAAAGGCCAGACAACCAAGGAACCAGTGATATAAGCGCTAGTCCAAAGGCCAAAGGCTCAAGACTCAAGAAGAGACAATAGTTTAGTTCAAGTCTGAAGCCAGGAAAAGACCAATGACCCAGCTCAAGGCAGTCAGGTAGGGGAAGTTCCCATTACCAGCACGGCTGGGTGGTAGGCAGCCTTTTTGTGCTATTCAGACTTTCAACCTGATTGGTCACATTAAGGGAGTGTAATCTGCTTTACTCAGTCTACGAATTTAAATTTTAATGTCATCCAAAAACATTCTCAAGGTCACACTCAGAGTAATGTTTGACTAAATGTCTGGGTGTCCTACAGCACAGTCAAATTGACACATACATTTTTCTTTTTTGAGTCAGAGCCTCACTCTGTTGCCCAGGCTGGAGTACAGTGACACACTCAGGGCCACTGCAGCCTTGACCTGCTTGGTTCAGGTGATCCTTCTACCTCAGCCTTCCAGGTAGCTGGAACAGGCATGAGCTATCACACCCAGTTCATTTTTGATTTATTGTAGAGATGAAGTCTCCCCATGTTGCTCAGGCTTGTCTCGAACCCCTGAGTTAAGGCAATCCTCTCATCTCCACCTCCCAAAGTACTGGGATTACAGGTGTGAGCCACCGCACCTGGCTGACACATAAAATTAACCATCACAGGTCCACCCCCTGCCAGCTTGGCACTCATATACATCTTTTTAAACCATATTTAATCTCCAAATAAAGACAATATCAGGTCATAATTTTGCCTAACATGATACAAGTATTCGGCATACAACTGAAAACCACTTCCTAGAAGAGGAGGTAAAATCCTTGGGTGATGTTTTCTCTTACTCTTGATATCCTGTAATGTAAAATCATCAGTATTTACATACTATGACATAAGGTCAATACATCTTATATTAGTGGGAAAAAAGATATTTGCTGTATCTGTTTCTATATAAATATGGATACATACACATACAAGCATTCACAGCAAAATGAGGAAATACGACTCTTACAGTCTTCATTTTTGTAACTGATCACATGGTCACAGCTGGTGTTTATGGCTACCCATCCATATTCCCTTTGCTTCAGAGAACACCTCAGCTGATTGTCGTTTTTTGTCTGGTGGGGTGACCAAACCTTCCACCCTAAAGTATCTGGGCCATTGGTAGTCATGCCTGGATTGGATTGTGGTCATTTTCCATTGACCTTGGCCTCTGAGCATTATCTACTAAGAGACACTCTAACGGACCTGTTGCGTCCCATACCTGCTCCTCCTTTCCTTCACTGTGCAGCAGCAGCCAGCCCAGTGTCCCCTTGGGATCAGGACCAGTCACCGGGCCAGCACAGTAGCTCCCTTCTTGCTTCTTCATTCAGAGGTATGAGAAGTTCAAAGTCACTCAGCAGCAAACTTAGCTTCCCAATTCAGTGAGATCGTTGTTCTGTCTTCTGGTGAAGCATTCCTCCCTCTGGAACTAAGACCTCTGGTCTAGCAGCAGAGCATAAGGTCATGGGAACAGGAAGCAAATATTTCACCACTGGATCATGAGGAGAAGGAGTAGTGAGTGGGCCACTCCCATTTCTGCTCCGTGATTCCTGGGTCTGTGACTGAATCCTGGCCAGGGGAGATGCAGCACCACGTACCAGACACTGTTGTAGCCCGCAGACAGCTTTCTGGAAAGCCTTTCCCAAGGCCTGCAAGGTATTGTCACCTGGCTGGTGCTGTCACTGAGTCTTCACTTTGGGAGGCCAGGGCGAGAGGACTGCCTAAGCCCAGGAGTTCGAAACCAGCCTGAGCAACTTGGCAAGACCTCGACTCTACAATAAGTAAAAAAAATTAGCTGGGTGTAGTGGCATGCACCTATAGTTCCAATTACTTGTAAAGTTGAGGTGGCAGGATCACCAGAGCCCAGCAGGTCAAGGTTGCAGTAACCATGGCTGTGAGTGTGCCACTGTACCACTCCAGTCTGGGCGACAGAATGAGACACCGACTTTAAAAAAAAAAGAAGGCTATTCTACCACTCTCTCAAGCCAGCTGCTTCAGGATGGAAACCAGTGAATTCCATAATCAAAGTAAAATGTACTAGGTGACTAACAACTGGTAAGGACTGCGAAAATTTCCTTGCTGATAAAGATACTGGCTAATACATCAGTGGCTGTCAACACCAGTAGGTAGTGAGAGAGAGGGACAGAACAAGGGATACAAGAACTCCCACCAAGTAATATGCTACCAAAGCCATTTATTGTTCATTCAACATTTATTCTAAACAGCTGTGTGCAGGAGAATATTTCAGGCTTTTGGAGAAATAAAAAGACTAGGCCTAACCTGGAGACGCTTAATATCTATGGGAAAGTTAATACAGGGTAAAACTTAAACATATAGGAAAAAAGCCATGAACGAAATGCTTAAATCTGTTGTGATGATCTAGGAGAGCATCATAAATGAGGTCACATTTGGATTGAATCTTAAACTGTAAGTTAGGCAGGTTTAGATGGGAGTGGGGTGGGATAAATGGGGTATCATGAATAAAAATGTATTTGTCAGGCTATGAATTAGTCATATATTCAAAATTGAATTATGCTTAAGCCAATCTTTTAAACTTTATTCACTATGATGAGTGCAGCTATTTTTTAAAATATGGGAGTTCTATAACAATACCCAATGTTTTTTAGTGGCTACCATGTCCTAGGTGCTGTTAAGAGCATGAACTCTGGATTCAGTCATGAGTTCGAATCCCAGCTTTCTCACTTATAAACTGGGAACTTAAGCAAGATGATACTTCTATTTACAGGGTCTATAGTAATTATATATAAGATGTTACTCTTTTTACAAGACATATTCATTTTTATATAGGTGTTTTCCTTACTATAGGACGATAATTCAGTGAGCCTCCAGAAGTAGGACATGAACTCTGTGGGCTTTTGCATTGGGGGATGAATGTGTACTGAGGTACCTTGACTAGCTCTTTTTAGGAATACGGATTGTTACTCTTCATTCTCTGGAAGGGTAATTGGCCAAGGAGAGTTGGGGTCTGTTTCTTCTCCTCCTCAACTCCACGCGTTCACCTGCTGAGGCAGCTACTGAATTAATAGGAGCGTGTAAGTCATAAGGTAATTAACTTACCCATATGAAGGCTGTCAAACATCATCTGATTTATGCACATATTAATTCATGCATTTATTCAACAGATATTTGTTAGACCTTCAGTTTACCAGGTAGTGCCCAAGCTCTGGAAATATAGAGAAAAACAAGAATGCTTTCTTGCATCCATGGCCCCTATAATACAGTGTGGTGGAACAAGCAGGCTGCATACAAATAACTAAAAACATGAAGTCTAAACAGTTCAAAGTACCTCGTGCAGAGTGCCATGGGAACATTAAGACGGGGTCTAAGAAAGCTGTGCAGGGGTGGCAAGATGAGCAGCATGAAAGAATAGGGTACATTGCAGGCAAAGAGGAAGGCCATCCCAGCAGAACAAATAACAGAAGCAAAAGCTTGAAGTTGTGAGAGAGCATGGTGCAAGTTGCCTGGGAGGTACAGCACAAGTCAGTAAGGCTAGACTCTGAGGGAGGGTGTTTCTGGAAACCCCTGTGAGGATAGGTGGCAAACTGGCTTCGGTCTGACTGCATCCTTTGGTGATGAGCATGCTGACTTGTGAGGCAGCCCAGCCAATGTCAGCTGTGGTTCCTAGGAAGGGTTATGGCTAAAAAAGGTTTGTGACTAAAAAAGCACTTGTGTATCACAGGATTCTTTTTCCATAAAATTTTCAAGCACTGTGATAAAATTAAGTTACTTTTTTTTTTTTTTTTTTGAGTTGGAGTCTCATTCCGTTTCCCATGCTGGAGCGCAGCGTCAACCTGCTGGGATACGGTGAATCTTCCGCCTTGGCCTTCCAAGTAACAGGAACTACAGTCATGCGCTACCGTACCCAGCTAATTTTTTGTTGTAGAGACAAGGTCTCACCAAGTTGGTCTCAAACCACGGTCTCAGGCAATCCTCTTGCCTTGGCCTCCCAAAGTGCTGGGATTATAGGGTTGAGCCACTGAGCCCGGCTAGGATACATTTTCTTTTTTTTTTTGAGTTGGAGTCTCACTCTGTCGCCCAGACTGGAGTAGAGTGGCCGCTCCCGGCCACCACAGCCTCGCCTGCTGGGCTCCGGCGATCCTTCTGCCTCAGCCTTCTGAGTAACTGGAATAACAGTCATGGGCTACCACACCCGACTGATTTTTTGATTTATTGTAGAGATGAGGTCTCACTGCCTAGACAGGTCTCGAACCCGCAGGCTCAGGCAATCCACTCACCTCAGCCTCCCAGAGGCGTGGGATTACAGGCTGAGCCACTGAGCCCGGCTTGGGATACATTTTCTTTAAAAATTTTTTTCTTCTTCAAACCACTTGAAGAATAAGTGATGGATGTTCTAACTGAGTACAAAATGCCACAGAAAGTAAAATGTTAAAGAATTAAGACTATGATATTTTTGTAGATGGTGGGACATACCGAATAGAACACATCTGTAGTACAATTGCTGTAAGAACAAGTGATTGACGGGTGATTCCCAATTAAATAAAGCTTTTTTATTTTTAATCTTTTTCCCCAGGAAATGTGAGAATGTGTTTGCTTCATTTATATAAACAGGAAAACAGAATGCTGTTAGTAATGATTTAGACTATATTCTACATTAAAATGAGCTTACTGAGTTTATGCAGTTTTATGTGTCTTGAGCTGATTTTTATTTTTTTACTTTACTTTTCAGATTGAACTGATTTTAATTTTATCACAATATTTAAAGCTATTACAAATTAAAAAAAATTTTTTTTTTTTAAAGATATCTAACAGATTTTGAACCAATTCAGTGCCTGGGTCGTGGCGGCTTTGGGGTTGTCTTTGAAGCTAGAAACAAAGTAGATGACTGCAATTATGCTATCAAAAGGATCCGTCTCCCCAATAGGTAATGGATGGTAAATTTAGCAAACTTGCAATAAGTGCTATATGATCAACTATCATGGGCAAAATGTCCTTTTCACTATACTCTGTAGATGCTATAGAAAACATAGTTTCTGACCTTTCAGATCTTGAATTCCAAGTGCTATCAGTTGTCTAAAAGTTGAGGTCTAAACAGATTGCTTTGTATCACTTTAAAAATGTGCCCTTGTTTTTTATCGTTAAGAACTCAGGACGTTCTCTTAGTTACTTGTAATAACTACAGACTTCAGTAAATCATAGCATTTAAAAAATAATCTATATTTATTGTTCTAAATAAAAAATTAAAGTAAAAAAAATTGAGTTATATTGTCTTTACTCAGTAATAACCACTATTAACACTTTAGAAGTTGATGTGGGTTATTTGAGTCAGTCTCACTCTGTCACCAAGGCTGGAGTGTAGTGGTACGCTTATGGCCACCATGGCTTCAACCTTCTGGGCTCAGGTGACCCTTCCCCCTCAGCATTCTAAGTAGCTGGAACCAAAGGCATGTGCCACTACACGCAGCTAATTTTTTTATTTGTTATAGAGACGAGGTCTTGCCAAGTTGCTGGTTTTAAACTTGTGGGCTCAGGCAGTCCTCTTACTTTGGCCTCCCAAAGTGCTGGGATTACGGGCGTGAGCCACTGCACCCAGCTTTTTTTTTTTCCTGGTCATAAGTTTGCCTAATTGGTAGCACAGTTGCCAGTGCTATACAGTTTTATTTGTTGCTTCTTTCATTTTATCCTCATCATATTTCATGTTAAGAGTATTTTATAGCTGGGCTCAGTGGCTCAGCCTGTAATCCCGCGTCTTGGGAGGCTGAGGTGAGTGGATTGCCTGAGCCTGCGGGTTCGAGACCCGCCTGGGCAACTTGGCGAGATCTCATCTCTATAATAAATCAAAAATCAGTTGGGCGTGGTAGCGCGCGCCTGCAGTTCCAGCTACTTGGAAGGCTGAGGCGGAAGGATCGCTGGAACCCAGCAAGTCAAGGCTGCAGTGACCGGGAGCAGCCACTGCACTCCAGTCTGGGCGACAGAATGAGACTCCAACTCAAAAAAAAAAAAAAAAGTATTTTATTAAGATGCTAAAATACATTAAAAGTATTTTATAGCTTGGTAATAGTCCATTAAATACATATGCCATATTTTGTTTAACCATTTCTTGTTTTTCAGCAATTTGGTTTCTCACTTCCTGCAATTAAAAGTAACTTTCCATGAAAAAGTAACTTTGCAGTGCTTATCTTTTTTTTATTTTTTGAGTTGGAGTCTCACTCTGTTGCTCAGACTGGAATGCAGTGGCACGCTCCCAGCCACCGCAGCCTCAACCTGCTGGACTCTGGCGATGCTTCTGCCTCAGCCTTCCAAGTAACCAGAACTACAGGCACACACTACCACACCCGGCTAATTTTTGATTTATGGTAGAGACAAAGTCTCGCCTAGTTGCCTGGGCAGGTCTTGAACCTGCGGGCTTAGGCAATTCACTCACCTCGACCTCCCAAAGTGCTGGAATTACAGGCTGAGCCACCGAGCCCGGCCCAGTGCTCATCTTTTATATAAATTTTTGGCACGTCTGTTTCTTTAGGATAAATTCCTAGAAGTGGAATTTCTGACACAGAACAGTGTGATGGGCTTTTAGCAGTACCTGTAGTGAATGATTTTTAGTTAAGAAAGCTTTATCTTAATGGGCAATAGATGTTTGTAGCACTTATTTCCAGAAGAAAAAAATTATATTTTAATTTATTGTAGAGACGAGGTCTCAGTAAGTTATCCAGCCTGATCTCGAACCCCTGGACTCAGACAGTCCTCTCGCCTCTGCCTCCCAAAGTGCTGGGATTGCAGGGGTGAGCCACCACACCCAGCCTACCCAGGGCTAACGTATCTACTTCTAATTTTAGGTTCAAAGGAGAATCCTATTGTATTATTTTTCTGTTTTGCTATTGGATACGAATACTTTTTCAGTTATGAATGACCTTCAGCATCATCCATTCTTTTTCACATAGTTGTTTATCAGTGTGCAAGTCATCTTATCTCTTTTTATGACTGATTTTCTTTTTAAAATTTTTTTGTTGATACACAGCAAATATAAAATAGGGCTACATGTTATCATTTGATGCATTCATATAATCTGTAAAGATCAAATTAGTGTAGTGTGGATATTCATTGCTTAAGTATTTATATTCTTTTAGGGCATTGGCTCGGGAAAAAGTAATGCGAGAAGTTAAAGCCCTGGCCAAGCTTGAACACCCAGGAATTGTTAGATATTTCAATGCCTGGCTGGAAGCACCACCAGAGAAATGGCAAGAAGAAATGGATGAAATTTGGCTAAAAGATGAAAGGTAATTTTGTTGGACTTGGCCTTACAGAGTAACATTTTATTTTAGGCTAGTTTTTTGCTTATGTGAACACCATATCATTTCTATAACTTTGGGATTTTTTTTTTTTTTTAGAAAAATAACAGCAATGTTTTGTTCTATGTCATGTTTCAGGAAGTTTTCTAGCCAACTTATTAAGTGAAAGTTTGATTCAGCCTTTGAGAACATAAATTTCTAAACATCAGTCTACAGGGCTCGATGAATTGTGATTGAGAAATTTATAGTGGCTTTTCCCAGTATGAGGTATTGTCTGCTTCTGTCTCCATCCTTTAAAAAAAAATTGGTTTAGTTCTTCTCTTAGCAGTTAGCAATTTACAGTTCCTTGTTAAGTAGTTTTAAGCTATTTGCAGTTAAAAATACATACACTCTGGTAGACGGTTCCCATGTTAACTGTGGTGTGCTATAGGAAGAAAAACCCTTTAAAAATGCCTAAAGGAGAACAAAGAGGAGGCCCGTGTGGGCAGACCAAGCAGCTAGAGGAACGCCCCTGCCCACAGGTGCAGCAAGCAGCATTAAATTCACATTAGGTGCCTTGCTGAAGTGGCACTTATCGTAGACTCAGCTGACAACGAAACCATGGAAGGACCAGGCGAAGCAGCCCCTTGTCTCAAGGCCCTGTAAGCTGCGGCCCTAATTTGAATGGGGGCTTCAGAGTCGTGTCCTTGCTTTGCATAAAAGGTTTTGGCAACTCTGGCAGCTCCAGACAATTTCACGTATAAAATTAAGCTGTCAGATTAAGTTTTTTTAGAAGAAATGGGTGGAATGTGATGCTTGTGTAGCATGTTTTTATTTAGTCTGCATGTTGTTTTGTTGTTTGTCATTTGGTAATTGACTTTAGTACGGTTGAAGCTTTTTAAACAAAGGATGCAGCTCAGATACTTTCATCAGTACCTATTCATTCTTATCCCTTTGTATGCCTCCCACTTTTAGCGCAGACTGGCCACTCAGCTCTCCTAGCCCAGTGGATGCACCATCAGTTAAAATACGCAGAATGGATCCCTTCTCTACAAAAGAACATATTGAAATCATAGCTCCTTCTCCGCAAAGAAGCAGGTCTTTTTCAGTCGGGATTTCCTGTGGCCAGACAGGTTGTTCTGAGAGCCACTTTTCTCCACTGGAATTCTCAGGAACGGACCGTGGAGACATCAGTGAGTCAGTGGGTACAGCATGCAACCTCCAGGACAGTTGCCTTACAGACTGCGATGTGGGTGATGGCACTATGGATGGCAATGATGAAGGGCACTCCTTTGAACTTTGTCCTTCGGAAGCTTCTCCATATGTCAGGTCAAGGGAGAGAACCTCCTCTTCAATAGTGTTCGAAGATTCTGGCTGTGATAATGCATCTAGTAAAGAAGAACCCAAAGCTAACGGACTGCACATTGGCAACCATTATGCCAATAAACTGGCTGCTTTCCACCCCACCAGTAGCAAATCTTCTTCTGAAGCTACATTATCTATTTCTCCTCCAAGACCGACGACTTTAAGTTTAGACCTCACTAAAAACACCACGGAAAAACTACAGCCTAGTTCACCAAAGGTGTATCTTTACATTCAGATGCAGCTATGCAGAAAGGAAAACCTCAAAGACTGGATGAACAGACGATGCACCCTAGAAGAGAGAGAGAGGAATATGTGTCTGCACATCTTCTTACAGATTGCGGAGGCAGTGGAATTTCTGCACAATAAGGGACTCATGCACAGGGACCTCAAGGTCTGTATTTGTGGAGCGTCACACGAGGATTTCAGCTTAGTGCTTTGTGATTTAGTACTTGCAGTGCTCGTCCGTTTTTAACTGGAGGACCCTTGGGAGCCGAGGAGAGTAAAGGCATGGATCTGAGAAAGTAGCTTGAAGGGGTCTGCTGCCAGAATAAGAAGTCTTGTGTTTTAAAACTCTGGGCAAGCTGTGCATTCTCCTCTATCTATAATGTATCTGTGTTCATTTTACTGTAGAGGGTATTCCCAATATCCCAGTAGTCCAGATGAGGGGGGGAAAATGAATCTTTAGCTAAAATCTACTATGAGCAAATGTGCCCTGTTCTTCCTATGGCTTCAAGTACCCCGACACAGGTGCCTTTAAGACACTGAAGCCCTGTAATAAAAGGGACCTCATTGGGGGAGAGACGTGAGTTCCTTCATGAGCCAGATCTTGACTTGGCAGATCTTTGCACTTCTGTCCGTTTGTGAACTTACCAGGCTTTAGGGAAGGGTGAGGAGCTGGGTGGAGAGGATGGCAAATGGTTAACCAGGCGATTGTATGTAACTCTGAGACCTTGGATTCTGTATCCAATATATACAGTATTGAATGTGTGACAAAACAGTATGCAGAATTATATAAGACTCGTACTGAAATGTGGCATTTCCTTTATATGTGTTTCTGAAAACAAGCATATGGAACTTTTTTTTTTTTGAGTTGGAGTCTCACTCTGTCGCCCAGACTGGAGTGCAGTAGCCACTCCCGGCCACCGCAGCCTCGACCTGCTGGGCTCCTGCGATCCTTCCACCTCAGCCTTCCCAGTAGCTGAATTACAGGCATGCGCTACCATACCCGGCTGACTGTTTGATTTATTGTAGACATGAGGTCTTGCTGCCCAGGCAGGTCTCGAACCCGCGGGCTCAGGCAATCCACTCACCTCAGCCTCCCAAAGGCGCGGGATTACAGGCTGAGGCACCAACCCTGGAGGAACTTTTTTTTTTTTGACTTGGAAGCTTACTCCACCACCCAGGCTAGAGTGCAGGGGCTACACTTAAGTCTACCCCAGCGTCGGTCTTCTGGCTATCCTTCCGCCTCAGCCTTCCAAGTAGCCGGAACTAGAGGCACGCACTACCATGCCTGGCTAATTTTTTCTTTATTGTAGAGATGAAGTCTCACCAAGTTGCCCGGGCTGGTCTCGAACCCGCAGACTCAGGCAGTCCCCTCACCACGGCCTCCCAAAGTGCTGGGATTACAGGCTGAGCCACCAAGCCCGGCCTGGAACTTTTATTTAACTAATTTCTACCACACTCCATATACTCATAGCAGTCACCAGTATGTAGTGAATGTATAAATATTTTTCTAATGAAACTAACCTAAATTATTGATAGATTTGGATCCATTTTAAGTATTTGCAGTTTTATGTAACCATAAACTTTTGTTTCAGGCATCAAAGTAGCTATTTTTAAACAAAAGTTACTTTCTCTTAAAATTAGCAGTAGGTTTTTAAATTCAAGAGTTTAAGAGTTTTGGGATAATAGGAATAAGAAATATAAATAATTCCCATTTTCCAATATAATTGTTATATAATCATTATGCTTTAGAGATTTTGAAGTGGGCCCAGACTGATTGCCAAGAATTGTTCTGCAATGAATAAAAAGTTCAGAGGTGAATTATTTGGTTGTAACGGAGGAGACAGCTTACTGGAGACCAGACACCCCTAACTTGAGAGAATACTAGCGTTTGGGTTTGAATATGGTAAACACTTATCATTTGGTGGAAAACAACTTGCTGATATACCCATTCCTCTTGTACTTAACACCTGCTATATACGTAGATGCCAAACTAAAAGACAATTTTGTTTTCTTATAAGTAGTATTCCGCTAATTTTGTAACATAAATGAGATATTGTTAAAGATCTGCTTATTGCTATAATGTTGTCTAAAGATTTCTCTGTATCTATGCACCAGAAGAATCCCAAGAAGAAAGTTAATTTCCCCTTTAGTTTTTCTAGAAATCAAAAGGGTTTTGTCTTTCTAAAGACAGTTTCTTTTAAATATTTCTAGTAGCCGGGCTCGGTGGCTCAGCCTGTAATCCCAGCACTTTGGGAGGCTGAGGTGAGTGGATTGCCTGAGCCCGCGGGTTTGAGACCCGCCTGGGCAACTTGGTGAGACCTCATCTCTACAATAAAATAAAAAATTAGCTGGGCGTGGTAGCACGCTCCTGTAGTTCCAGCTACTTGGAAGGCTGAGGCAGAAGGATCGCCGGAGCCCAGCAGGTCAAGGCTGCAGTGGCCGGAAGCGGCCACTGTGCTCCAGTCTGGGTGACAGAGTGAGACTCCAACTCAAAAAAAAAAATTTCTAGTGTACCAAAAAAATATTGCCATGATTTTTATTCTCGCTTGAAAAAGCTGCATGTTTTGCTGCATTCTGACTGAGTCCTTGATCTCAATGTTAAGGCTTTTCCTGTGGCCACGTTGTTGTCATCGGGACTTTCTGGCCCCTGCCTCTTTAGACTGACTTCTAATTTTTTATTCTCTCCACTTCAGGCTTTTCCCAGTTCCTTAAATACACGGTGTTCAAACAGAAACTGGTCTTTCTTCATCCTCATCACACCTGGATTATTTATCCTCTGGTTTCCATGGAGGCACAGACCATGTCTGTTTTGTTCACCCATTATAGTCTCACTGCACTGCCTGATGTGTCTAGATGCCCATATCATTTTATTTTGAAGTTTCTTTTGTTTGCAACCAAAAGCATTTATGTAGATTAGTCAAAAAAGGAAATGTTGACCCATGTGACAACACCGTTGAGGATTTAGGTAAAACTTTAGCTGGGATCAAGTGATGTGACCAGAGCCTGGTTTCTCTCCTTCCTTCCCATTTCTCATTTCCATATTCAGGCAGGCTCTCCTTTTGTAGTCTCAGGGCGGCTGCCAGGGATTCCTAGGACGACGTGCTTTTCTTTTAAGACTTTTGGACATGGTGGGGAGAAAAGTATTGCTTTCTTCCACTCTTGATCAGAAATCCTGAGTTTCATTCTCCCTGATAAACCAGAAGCACCTGCCCAAACCAGCCTCCTGACCAGGGAAAGGACTGTGTGGGCTGCTTTAAGCAACCTGTAGAGTTGGATGGCTTCCACACAAACCATGGGATTGCTGCAGTAAGGAAGAAGGGAATTCCCAAGGGAAAGTCAGGATGCTCCTGGTGGAAGCACAGGGAGATCGTTGCTGGAGACCAAAAAGCTTGCCAGTGAAATGGGAGTGAGGAGGAAAGATGACATTTAAAGCGGCATAGTCTGTTACTGTCTCTGGTACAAGGTTATTTGTGGGAGAGCTGCAGGTTAGTTACGTAGATTTTCATTAGAGCAGTAACTTTATTGCTTCAAAGTTAAAATTGTATCATGGCATTTTGGAGTTTGGGAACAAAATGTTATTTTCTGATAGTCTTTGAAGGATGATGAAATTCAATGTCATGAGCGAAATGGCTTCTTTTTTCCTTATTTCAAAGACTGTGAATGGTGGTCACATTACCTGCAGGGTAGAGTAGACCGAGGGAAAGGTAATATGTTTCATGTTGGGCACTTTGAGTATGAGGAGCCCCTGAGACATTTGGTTAGATGCATCTTATACACGGTTTCATACGAGAGTTTAGAATGCAGGACAGAGCTGTGGAAGTAGGTGTAGTCTCGACAGTCTATCTGCCCCGTTCAGACACAGACCAAAAGAGCAGTCTGTTTCATTCATTCATCAAATAATGATCAACTACCATACAGCAAGTACGGTACTGAGTGCTGTACACGTGGCAGTGAATCACAAGGTCTTTTTCTCATAGAACCAAACTGCTTGAGTTTGAATCTCTGCCCCACCACTTGTTAGCTGAGGAACCTTGGGCCATTTGTTTTACTTCTGAGCCTCAGTTTTCACATCTGTGAAAAGGACAGCTAGTGATACTCACCTAGTAGAGTTATAGTATGTGAGTTAATAGTAGTAAACTGCTTTGAACAGTGTGCCTGGCATGTTGCAAGTGCCATACAAGCATTTGCTGTTGTTACCACTGTTGTTATAATTATTATGATGTAAGCCATAAATGTAGAGAAACTTGCCCAAGAAGAGCATAAAGAGTAACAAGATTGAGGGTTATGCACTCTGGCCCCTAGGGAATGTGGCTCTCTTAGGGTTTAAGTGGATGTTCAGTAAATGCCAGCTCTCTTTGCCACCCTTTCTTTTTCCTCACTAGCGTAGAAAAATTGTTATTTTCATGTGAGCCCATCTTAAGGAGAAAAATCCTTGAAAATATCTAGTTTCTTCTATTTCTTTTTTGTAATCGTTTAAATAACTCTCCTTACTTTTTCTCCTTCTCCATGCACACCCACTGTACTTTTATCCGTTTTGTTTTTTTCCAGCCTTCCAACATATTCTTTACAATGGATGATGTAGTCAAGGTTGGAGACTTTGGATTAGTGACTGCAATGGACCAAGACGAGGAGGAGCAGATGGTTCTGACCCCAATGCCAGCTTATGCCAGACACACGGGACAAGTGGGGACCAAACTCTATATGAGCCCAGAGCAGGTGAGTTGTTTAGACTTTCGCTGAGCCTCACAGCAAGCTAGCTGTGCCCGATGACTCTCCTCCCATGTTCTCATTAGCATGCCCAGTCGTCTAAAATTCATTAAGTCAGAGAATTATTAAAACCGGCGGTTGTGTGCCACAGGTGACACAACTAGGTGCACTTTCTACAACCTGAATTGGGGATGAGTTAGGGAAAAAATAATGCATAGGACACACTCCGCCTCTGAACCTGATAGCAACCAGAAGTGTAGAAAGAGACTCTGAATGCCACTCTCCCAGGCCTGCTCCAGTTTGCCTTAGGTGGACTATGTAGCAAGTGTTTACAGAGCCAGCGAGCGCGAGAGGGTCTGCACTGAGCTGCCCTCTGTGGTAATTGACAGGCAGCTTCTAGTATGTGCCATGGCAGGAAATAGAGGTACTTGCGCTGAGCTGTGTTGCCCTGTGGGAGGCCTGGTCTTCTAAGGAAGACCGCAGTGCACAGGGCAGGGGCTGGAAGAGTTGGGGGAGCAGGGCATCTTGGGCGTTCAGGAGGGACATCCTCAGCTCCTACCAAGTGAATGACGTCCACAGGCATCTCTAGAGCGGCTCTCGAAACCTTTTGGCTTCAGTGCCCGTTTACTTTTGTAGAAATGATTGAGAGCCCAAAAGTTTTTCTTGCAAAGTCTGATCTATCGATATATGCCATATGAGAACTTAAAACAAAACTTTAAAAAGCTTTATTAAATCAATTATGACAATATTAAAGCTATCATGTCTGAAGATATTTTTGTGAAAAACATTTCTAGAACAAAGCATTAGTGAGAAGAATGGCATTTGTTTACATTTTTGCCAGTCTCTTTAATATCTGGTGTGTGAAGATCTACATTCTCATATCTCCTTTTGCATTCAATCCATTGCAATATATTTTTTTGGTTGAAGTACATGAAGAAAATCTGACCTCACACAGATGTGTAGTTGGAAAACGGAGCAGTGTTTCATTTCAAGTAATTACATATACCTATTTTTGTTTAATATGTCAAAACTTTTAGTGAGTGATAGGTTATTAAAAGTCATTTACGGCTGGGCATTTTGGGAGGCAGAGGTGAGAGGATTGCCTGAGCCCAAGGGTTTGAGACCAGCCTGGACAACTTGACAAGACCTCCTCTCTACAATAAATCAAAAAGTTAGCCAGGCATGGTGGCATGGGCCTGTAGTTTCAGCTACTTGGAAGGCTGAGGCGGAAGGATCACCTAAGCACAGCAATTCAAGGCTGTGGTAGCACTGAGCATGCTGCTGCTCTCCAGAGCTACAGAGTGAGATTCCAATTAAAAAAAAAAAATTACCGGGCTCGGTGGCTCAGCCTGTAATCCCACGCTTTGGGAGGCTGAGGTGAGTGGATTGCCTGAACCCATGGGTTCGAGACCCGCCTGGGCAACTTGATGAGACCTCTTCTCTACAATAAATCAAAAATCACACGGGTGTGGTAGCACGCGCCTGTAGTTCCAGCTATGTGGAAGGCTGAGGCGGAAGGATCGCCAGAGCCCAGCAGGTCGAGGCTGCAGTGACCAGGAGTGGCCACTGCACTCCCGTCTGGACGACAGAGTGAGACTCCAACTCAAAAAAAAAAATCACCACTAATCTCATCAGAAAAAGCTAAGTATTAGAAAGCTGTCAGATTTTCACTGGTCGATACAAATTTTCCAAAATTGTAATTTTCACTTGAAAGCTTGACTTTTATTTTATTGACAACAAATATTGCCAGTTTTCTTTGAAGTGCCAGTTTCACAATTTTCATCTTTCAGAAAGTATCTGTCAAGTATCCAACTCCAAATAACTAGAGTTTGTCTGTCGAGGATTCTTTCAAGTCAAAATGATATTCTGTGGAAAGAGCAGCTAGTGCAGATGGTTCTGACTCCAATAACTGCACAAGTGCTAATGATTTCACAAACTTACCTATGCTTCAATCAGCATCGTCTTTAAAAGTCTTAAACTTTTAAAAAATATTTTTATTTATTTATTTATTGAGTTGGCGTCTTACTCTATCTCCCAGGCTGGAGTGCAGTGGCATACTTACAGCCACCCAGCATCGCTCGGCTGGGCTCAGGCAATCCTTCCACCCCAGCCTTCCAAGTAGCCGGAAAGGCGCATGCCACCATGCCCAGCTAATTTTTGATTTATTGTAGAGAGGAGGTCTCACCAAGTTGCCCGGGCTAGTCTCGAACCATGGGCTCAGGCAGTCCACTCGCCTCGGCCTCCCAAAGTGCTGGGATGACAGGCTGAGCCACTGAGCCCGGCCAAAATATTTTTTAATTGACATATAATAATGTACATGTTTATGGTGTGCATAGTGATGTTTCAACACATGTAACGTATACTGATCAGATCAGGGTAATTAGCATATCCAGGGTCTCAAACTTCAAGACAGCTGTTGTACTTTGGTATGGAGCAGAAATGCTTCCAATTTTGTATCAGATTATTAAAAAGATGTGTATTGAAGGCTTGAGATTTGAGGCCAAACCCCTCATGCCTGTAATCCCAGGACTTGGGGAGGTGAAGGCAAGAAGAACCCTGAGCCCAGGGGTTCGAGACCAGCCTGGGCAACTTGTTGGGACCTCATCTCTACAATAAATAAAAAACTTAGCCAGGTGTGGTGGTGCACACTTGTGGTTCCAGCTACTTGGAAGGCTGAGGCTGAAGGATCAGCTGAGTCTTGCAGGTCAAGGCTGCGGGGGCCTTGAGTGTGCCACTGCACTCTAACCTGGGAGACAGAATGAGACTCCAACTCCAAAGAAAAAAGGTTAAGATTTAATAAAATTTAAAATTTTTAATGCTAAGCAAGGATATTTTAAGTGAAACGTGTTATTTTTCTTTTTTCTTTTTGTTTTTAACCTGTGAGTATGTGACGCTGAGGAATATGGTTTGCTAACTAGTGCGATTGGGTGCTGCTGCCTTGATTCAAGCACAGATTCCATCAGGGCAAATGTCAGCACAGTGAGAATACAAATTCTGTCTTACCATTATTTTGAAAATAGTCTTGACCTCACAAACTACCTGAAAAGGTATTGAGGTCACTAGGAATCCATGAACCACACTTTGAGAACCACTGAATTAGATGATCTTTGGAAGATTATTTCAGAGACCAGTAATAGGAATTGCCTTTGAGGAAGGGAATTTTATTTTACTGTTATACAGTTTCCTTTCGAAGTGTTTTGATTGATTGCATTGTTCAAGTGTTTCTTTTTCATGTTGTAAATTTTTATTTACTTATTTATTTTGTGTTTATTTTGAGTCAAAGTCTCACACTGTCATCCAGGTTAGAGTGCAGTGGCACAATCACAGTTCATCACAGCCTCAACCTCCTGGGTTCAGTTGATCCTTCTGCCTCAGCCTCCCAAATAGCGGGGACTACAGGCACACACCACCATACCCGGCTAATTTTTCTATTTTTTGTAGAGATATGGTCTCACTATGTTGCCCTGGTCATGAACTCCTGGGCTCAAGTGATCCTCCCACCTTGGCCTCCCAATGTACTGAGATTACAGGAATTACAGGCATGAACCATTTGTGTCCAGCCTTATTTAACTTTTTTTTTTTTTTAAGTTGGAGTCTCACTCCTTCACCCAGGTTAGAGTGCAGTGGCACACTCACCACTACCCCAGCGCTGACCCTCTGGGCTCCAGCAATCCTTCCGCCTCAGCCTTCCAAGTAGCTGGAACTATAGGCATGCAGTACCACGCCCAGCTAATTTTTTGATTTATTGTAGAGATGAGACCTTGCCAAGTTGCCCGGGCTGGTCTCAAACCTCTGGACTCAGGCAGCCCAGTCACCTCAGCCTCCCTAAGCTCTGGGCTTACAGGCTGAGCCACCAGGCCCAACCAATAAATTAAAATAGGACATACTTGCATGCAAACTTCTTGGCTACAAAGAAATATCAGTGTACTGGAAAACAAATTGTAAATGTAAAAAAGAATAAAAAGAAATTGTGTCCTTTTATGATCATAATGGAGTAAGAAAAGATTATAGTGGTTTATTTTTATTTCTTATTTTTGTTTTTTCTTCTGTTTTGTTGAGCTGAAAATTTTAAAGCCCTCAATAACTATGGGGTCTATAATGAAGTAAAACTACTCATACAAGGTATTAAGAAAATAATGAAAAGCCAGGTACAGTGGCTCACACCTAGAAGCCTAACTACTTGGGAGGCTGAGTAGGGAGGATCACTTGAGCTTGAGAGTTTGAGACCAGCCTGGGCAAAATAGTGAGACCACGTCTCTAGAAAAATTAAAATTAAACAAAACAATTGAAGAAATGAAATATACTAAAATCCATAGAGTTCTCAAAGTTCCATCTGGAGATAAATTTATCTTACAGACCTTCGTTATATAAGCCTGTTACTGTGTAAGGATTGGGATTCTGCTCAGAGAGGAGCCAAGAAGATGGAAAATAAGCGTAAGAGCTGATACTGGTGAAACAGTAAACCAGCATCACCATGGCTGATTTTAATAGTTTTAAATAAAGATAATCCTCTTTAACAAACCTACTTAAGGGGGGGAAGGACACAAATAAATTTAGCAATTAGAATGGATATAGCAGAACTTTTAGTTTATAGACGACTATTATACATAGTCAATTGTTTTAATTGTTTTAATCAAACTGGCTTAAGTAGAAAAAAGAAACCTATTAGCCTGAGTTATTGAATCGCCCTGGTCAAATTATGTGAACAGGACTGGGTGAAAGGAAAAAGTAAAACTGTATGAAATAACAAAATACTATAAATACATATTTCTATCCATAGGAAGAAAGACTGGAAGAGCTGTAAAATATCAACAGTGATTAATTCTGTGTAGGGGAGACTTTGTATGAATTCATAGGCACATATTAAAATTCATACAAAAATGTTTATAATCGCAGTTTTAAAAATTCATTATTTAAGAGACTGGAAGTAATACTTTCACACTAAATATCAGGAAAACGAAAGAAATTCTATCTGAATGCTTTATTAACTATATTAATATCTTGATGCATTATTTTCGCTACATGGAAGGCCCCTCCCCCACAGCCCTGTTTAAAATAGATGACCCTGCCTCCTGAGAGTCTATGGCATTATATTGTTTTCTTTTCATCGCTTTTTAATTCTTTGAAATTATTTGTTCTTCCTCTCAAAAATATAAGCTATCAAAATAGGGACCTAGCTCATTATCCCCTTTTTTATTTATGTCTGAAACAATGCCTGTTCTGCAAGAATTCCTAAGTATTTGATAGATGATTGAATGTGAATGCCAGTGAAAAGGTAAATACCAGGTAGTCCTGTCCATCCATCCACATGGCCTTGCTGACTGTACTTTAGCTCATGGCTACAGTGTATATGCATGCACACGTGTGTGCGCACACACATGTGCTAAAGTCGGGTTGTCATCTGTGAAAGGAAGAGATTGAAGGCAAGTGGTACTATATTTAGTATTGTTGAAGATACTAGAAAGTCAAGATAGCTGTAGAAATTCTGTCATGTTAATGTGTAGTCGTTAAAATATGGTAGTTAAAAAGAAATAGTCTTAATTCTCAAATATAGAAACTGTCATTTATAAAAATGTTGTCAAAATACTTTGGCGGGGTAGACTGTCTTACCCAAGCCTAAGAAACTATACTAAGACATTGTTTTAAATTATTCATTATCCATCTTTGTTCTTGGTTGTGATTACCAAGAAATATAGGCCAAGTTCTAGTATTACACAGTGATAAAACAATCAGTTTAAATTCTGAAAGTATATATTATATTCATCCCTTCTGGCTTGAGTATTTTGTTCATGAGGCTACATTTTTAATAATAAAATAATATTTTGTAAGCAAATTAAAATAATGCATTATATATTCTGTTCTCTATGTAATGTGGAGAATATAAGGACATATGGAGAAAAAGTAAAAATCACTAAAACATTAACAGCAATTAGTTATTTATGTCTATTTGTATGTATACACATATATGTATAAATATATATAAGATGGGAAAGTTTTAGAAAACAAAATTGGGATTCTACCCTGTAAATTTTTGGATACAGTATTAAAAGTTAAACATTTCCTGTATTATTAAAATCTTCTTAGAAAATATCTATGGCTGCATAGTACTCACTCTGTTCAGCAACTTATTCAGCATTTGTTGCTGACATTTAGTTACTTGTTAATTTTGCTCTTTGAAATACCATGTGGGTCACTAACCCTGTACCTGTCCACATTTCCATCTATTCTCGGGTGGACCAAATTAGATGGGATCTTTGAGCAGGAGTAAACATGTTGCTTCTCATAAATGTGTATCAGTTTAGCTGGGCTCGGTGGCTCAGCCTGTAATCCCGTGCCTTTGGGAGGCAGAGGTGAGTGAATTGCCTGAGCTCGCCGGTTCGAGACCCGCCTGGGCAACTTGTTGAGACCTTATCTCTACAATAAATCAAAATGAGCTGGTAGCGCACGCCTGTAGTTCCAGCTACTTGGAAGGCTGAGGCGGAAGGATCGCCGGAGACCCCCAGCAAGTTGAGGCTGCGGTGGCCGGGAGCGGCCACTGCACTCCAGTCTGGGTGACAGAGTGAGACTCCAACTCAAAAAAAAAAAAATGTGTATCAGTTTATCTTTTCCATATAGTGTGGGGGGGTTCCTTTTTCACTTTTCCCTGTGAACATTGTTTTTGAACATACCTTCTTTGAATATTCCCCAAGTCCCAAGGATGAGAGATAAGGAGGGGTTCAGATTGCTGCATTCACTTAGAGGGGAAGTGGATGATGCAGCTCGTGTCACTGATAAGCACAGAAGCAGGCTGGCTGTGTGGAAGGAATCAGGAGACAGGCGACAAGCATAGTTTTCAGAGAAGGTTGTGAAGGGATCACAGACCCTGGCACCTGCCTTGTGGTTTCTCCATCCCCTAGTTAAGAACTGCCAGTATGGGCAGGGCACAGCGGCTCAAGCCTATAATCCCAGCACTTTAGGAGGCCGGGGTGAGAGGACTGCCTGAGCCCATGGGCTGGAGACCAGCCTGGGCAACTTGGCGAGACCTCATTGCTAAAATAAATTTTAAGAAATTAGCCAGGAGGGTAGCGGGCACCTGTAGTTCCAGGTACTTGGAAGGATTGCCTGAGCCCAGTGGGTCCACGCTGGGGTGGCTGTGAGCATACCCCTGCACTCACTCCAGCCTGGGTGGCAGAGTGAGACTCCAACTCAAAGAAAAGAAAAGAAATACCAGTATGGAGCCAGATGTCAAATTATATGCCTGAAAAAAGTTCACTAGTGAGAGGTTTTTCTGAGTCCCTGGGAAGTCACTTTTAATTTGAATGAGGCTTTGTTTAATAGAGTGCTTCCCTTGCAATTCATTTGTTCATCTTTACAAGTAAGTATTTATTGAGGGCCTTCTCTGTACTTAGCCCAGTGCTAGGCACTGGCCACACAAAAGCAGTTCCCTTCCCTCCAGGACTTTATAATCCAGTTGTGAAGAATAAGAAATATACACATGAAAAATCAAACCAAGAATGCAAAATAGTCCATAATTAGGTGCTGTAATGAAGGCTAACCACAGTTGATTAGTGGTTTGGAGTAATGGAGATTTTCTCATAAAAATGGGTGAGGACTGAGGTGATTGGAAATGAGAGATTTGCCTTAGATAGTCTCCCTTTGAAAACTTCACCTCAGGGTAGCTGAGCAGCTTTTACTGGCTCCCAGGACATTTCTAGCCCTGCTGGCTCCAGGGTTCTGCCGGCCTCTTTTACTGATGCATATCTTAGAGCTATACCTGGGCTTTCCTTCTGTAATGCTGAGTAGCTTAATTACTCTCGTAATGAGTTGGAGAAAACAGGCTTGAGAGATTATTAACTCTTTGCTAACATTTTTCCACATACACTTACCTTTAAACCAAGAAGTGACTGAGTAAGCGCTGAGATTCAGTAATGCTATAATAGCAATTGTATTATCTCTGTGTTAATTTTCTTTTTTTTTTTTTTATGTGGGATTTCAGATCCATGGAACCAACTACTCTCATAAAGTGGACATCTTTTCTTTAGGCCTGATTTTATTTGAATTGCTGTACCCTTTCAGCACTCAGATGGAGAGAGTAAGGGTAAGTAGTCCCCTCCTCAAAAAAGAAAGTTGAAAAAGAAAATAATCTAAAATTTAGCTAGGCACAGTGGCTCATGCCTGTAACCCCAGCACTTTGAGAAGCTGAGGCAGAAGTCCAGGAGTTCCAGACCAATCTAGGCAACATAGTGAGACTTCATCTCTGCAAAAAATCAGAAAACAAGCTGGGCTTGGTGGCATGTGCCTGTAGTCCCAGCTGGTCAGGAGGCTGAGGTGGGACGATCTCCTGAGCCCAGAAAATTGAGGCTGCAGTGAGCTGTGATCTGTGCCACTGCTCTTTAGCCTGGGTGACAGAGTGAGACCCTGACTCAAAAAACAAAAAGAAAGAAAGAAAGAAAGAAAATAAAAGAATCTAAAACTTACAAAAGAACATTTAGTTATTACTGAAGCCAGCAGACTAGTTAACTAGAAGTGAAAGAGATCAAGCCAGCCACAAGGGAGCATTTATAGATTATCTGCTTTCACTTAAAAGCTCAGTCTTCATGCTGGGCACAGTGCCTCATGCTAGAATCTGAACAGTTTGGGAGGCACAGGTGAGAGAATTGCCTGAGTCCAGGGATTGTTTGAGACCATCTTGGCAAGACAATAAATCAAAAAATTAACTGCGCGTGGTACAGTGGAAGGATCACCTGAGCCTAGCAGATCAAGCCTGCGGTGGCCATGAGCGTTCCACCACACTCCAGCCTGGGTGACAGAGTGAGACTCCTACTCAGAAATAAATAAATAAAGCTCAGTCTTCAAACAGCTGTTTAGTTCGATTGTTTGTTCCTAGTTTTTGCTTAAATTTAGCAATGCATTGTACTCAATGAGTTTCTCGTAAGTAGAAAGCTAAGGGTTACACAGGACGGTGGAGCAGGGGAGGGTAGGAGTGGTGGTGGTAGCTGGCTGCAGACGATTTTCTCAGAAGACCAGGAGCCACACACTCGTTTATTTAAAAGCTGGCAAACTATACATAATTAAGCTTTCTCCCTTGCAAAATGAACTGTGCCCATAGCTGTTAAGGCAGATAGTACAGAGTCTTCTTAAAGTGGGCCGCTGTCACATTCTCCCAGTCCCTCCTGTGGCTGCCCTCACCTCTTCTAGGTGTTGTCCCTGGCACTTATCTCTATATTGCCAGGGTTTAGGCTCTTACCACCATTTCTTGATTTGCTAGTTTTAGATCTTACCTTTTGATTTTCTGGCCATGGTAGAAGAGGATGCAGTTCTCACATAGACCCCAAATGACTCATATCTTGTAACTAAAGGATCTACCACTTCTTCTGTGCAATAAATAGAAAAAAGAAAAGTCAAATAACTAAGTTTCAGAACATCAGAAATAAAGGCCCTTGAAGCTTCCAGAAAGGAAAATAAAAAGGACAAACCTAAGTAAAGGATCAGGAATCAGATGGCATCAAAATTTATGTCGTTATAAGTGTATCAAATAATACTGTCAAGAACATGAAAAGACAAGCCAGGCGTGGTAGGTGCACACTGGTAGTTCCAGCTGCTCTAGAGGCCGAGGCAAGAAGATTGCTTGAGCCCAGCAACTGGAGGTTCCAGTGCGCCCTGTGTTCGTGCATGTGAATAGCCATTCTTCTCCAGGCTAGGCAACATTGCAAGACCACATCCCTTTAAAAAAAAAAAAAAAATTGAGCGGGCTTGGTAGCTCAGCCTGTAATTCCAGCACTTTGGGGAGGTTGAGGCAAGTGGATTGCCTGAGCCCACAGGATCCAGACCAGCCCCAGCAACTCGGCAAGACCAGTAAATGAAAAGTTAGCCGGGTGCAGCAGCTCACGCCTGTAGTTCTGGCTACTTGGGAGACTGAGGCAGAAGGATTGCCAGAGCCCAGCAGGTCGATGCTGCAGTGGCCATGAGTGTGCCACTGCATTCCAGCCTGGGTGACAGAGTGAGACTCCAACTCAAAAAAAAGAAAAAGAAAAAGAATGTGGAGAAATCAGAACCTTTGTACATTGCTAGTGGGAATAGAAATGGGGTAACTACTGTGGAAAACGGTTTGGTAGTTCCTCAAAAACTTAAACAATAGAATATGACTCGGTCATTTCACTCCGAGATGCATACTCAAGGGAAGGGAAACATAGACAAAAACACGTATACGAGTGTTAACGGTAGCATTATGTATAATAGCCAAAAGTAGAAGCCACCCAAATGCCCGTCTTCTGATGAATGAAAAAACAAGTTGCGGTATATCCACACAGCGGAATGCTATTCAGCCATTTAAAGGAACGGAGCGTTAATGTGTGCTGCAACGTCAGTGAGCCTTGGTAGCATTATGCTGAGTGGAAGAAGCCAGATGCAAAAGTCCTCCTTTGTCTGAGTCCGTTTTTGTGAAATATCCAGAATAGACAAATAATAGAGACAAAGTTAGATTAACAATTGCCAAAATTTTCTCTGTGCTCCAGTACAGCTGTTCTTTTTCTTAGTATCTATCTGTGTGTGTGTGTGTGTGTGTGACTGTATACACGTATATATTGCAATCCCTTGGTATCCACAGGGGATTGGTTCCAGGAACCCCACGACTACCAAACTGCAGATGCTCAAGTCCCTTACGTAAAATGGTGTAATTCCTGCCTGGCGCTCCTGGAAAAATAAATAACTAATATGGCATAGTATTCGCATATAACCTACAAACATCCTCCTTAATACTTTAAATAATCTCTAGATCACTTATAATACCTAATACAATGTAAATGTTCTATAAATAGTCATGCTGTTTTGTTTAGGGAATGATGACAAGAAAAAGTCTGTCCTTAATTAGTACAGATGCAGTTATCCTTTTTTAAAAATATATTTATTTTTTACAAAAGTTTATTCTTAAATGTACAACAGGCTTCGAGACAACACTTCATTCTAGCTATAGGTGGCAAAAGAAGTTATGTCAGGGAATACAGATGTTTAAATATGAATGCAATCAAGAGTCATCATGGCTTTAAGAACAAGGAACAGCTTACTTTTTGCCAGATTTCTTAATTCCACCTGTGTTCAGGGGCCTTTCCCCATGGCCTTCGCTGTCAGCTCCTCGAGTTTCTTCTGCTCCTCTTTTTGTTTCTGCTTGAAAGCTTTATCTTCCTCGTCCATCTTCTTGGGCTGCTTCAGGGGCTGCTTCTTGCCACCTTTCCGGCCGGACATGGTTCCTACCGCCCCTTCCCCAGACCCTGCCACCAGAAACCCTCAGCTGTCCTTTTTATTTTTTATCGTTTTATTTTATTATTTTATTTTTTGAGTTGGAGTCTCACTCTGTCACCCAGGCCAGAGTGCAGTGGCACGCTCACGGCCACCAGCGTCAACCTCCTGGGCTCCGGTGATCCTTCCACCTCAGACTTCCAAGTAGCCGGAACTACAGGCACGCACTACCATGCCCGGCTAATTTTCGATTTATTGTAGAGACGCAGTCTCCACAAGTTGCCCAGCGGGTCTTGAACCCGTGGGCTCAGGCAATCCACTCACCTCGGCCTCCTACAGTACTGGGATTACAGGCTGAACCACCGAGTCCGGCCAGCTATCCTTTTTTAAAGAAACATTTTTGATCTGTGTTTGGCTGAGTCCTCGGATGTGGAAGCTATGGATCCAGGAGGCCGACTGTGCATATACATACATCACATCCTGTGTTTGGAGGGTACCTCCACAAGGCTTGGGAAGTGCTCGTATACAGATTATCTACTCAGGAAAAGCTATTGACAAGTCTTCCATCTGGTTAGTGTACACTCTTTTGTCTTAGTCACTCTGTGGGAGTATCAAAAAATATGTTTAAACAGATCCGTATGTCAAAATACATTTAAAGCTAAGTAACACCTTTCTTTCTTTTTAGACCTTAAGTGATGTAAGAAATCTCCAATTTCCACCACTGTTTACTCAGAAATATCCTCATGAGGTATGTATAATTTTCATGTTTTACTTTATGAGAATTGTATTTAGAACTTAAAGGCTCCCTGGCCAGGCTCGGTGGCTCAGCCTGTCATCCCAGCACTTTGGGAGGCCAAGGTAAGAGGATTGCCTGAGTCCATGGGTTCGAGACCAGCCTAGGCAACTTGGCAAGACCTCATCTCTACAATAAATCAAGAAATTAGACAGGCGTGGTAGCACGTGCCTGTAATTCCAGCTTCTTGGAAGGCTGAGGCAGAAGGATTGCCTGAGTCCAGCAGGTTGAGACTGCGGTGACCGGGAGCATGCCTCTGCACTCCAGCCTGGGCGACAGTGAGACTCCAATTGAAAAACAAACAAAAAAATTTAAAGGATCCTTAGCAATCAACTCAATTTCCCCATTTTACAGATGAGGAAACCTAAGGTCTAGCGAGGAAAGGGACCAGATCCCAAGACATGAAATTTGTTAAAGCCAGCAGTTGATGCCAGGCATGCTGACTCGAGCCTGTAATCCCAGGACTTTGGGAGGCAGAGGCGAGTGGATTGCCTGAACCCAGAGGTTCGAGACCAGCCTGGGCAACTTGGCAAGACCTCGTCTCTACAATAAATCAAAAAATCAGCTGGGC